TTCAATGTGGGCGTGGGGAGGTCAGAGAAATCCCGACATTTGTCGGGGTTGGCTTCGATTCCTCGTTCCGTCAGGTAGAAGCCAAGGAATTTTCCCGCCTTGACCCCGAATGTGCACTTCTCGGGGTTAAATCTCATCTTGCATCGCCTTGCTTGAGCAAAGACTTCTTTGAGGTGAGTGGCATGGTCAGTGTCTGCTCGGGATTTGACGATCATGTCGTCCATGTACACCTCGAGCATATCCCCGATTTGGTTGTGGAATACTTTATTACATTGGTATGTCGCTCCTGCGTTTTTTAGACCAAAGGGCATTACGTTGTAGTAATAGTTTCCCGAGCTGGTCATGAAAGCAGTGCAATGCTTGTCACTTACGGCCATTGGGATTTGGTTATAGCCTGAATAAGCATCCATAAACGACAGTATTTTATAACTGGCTGAGTTGTCAACCAGCATATCTATGTTGGGTAAAGGAAATGCATCTTTCGGGCACGCCCGATTGAGATCAATATAATCAACACACATTCACCACTTTCCATTATTCTTTTTTACTAGTACAACATTTGACAGCCAGGTTGAATATCGGGCTTCAGAAATAAAATTTGCCTCTAGGAGGTCTTTTACAGCTTTTTCAGCAGCCTCCGTTTTCTCCGGAGACTGCCTATGCCTACGTTGTACTACTGCCCTAGCGGATGGATCTATGGCGAGGCGGTGACAGGCGACCTCGGGGTCGAGTCTGGGCATCTCAGCGGCGCTCCACGCGAATAAGGCCGCATTCTCGCGCAAGGAGGCTTTGATTTGCTTCCTCGCCAAGTCGGGGAGGCCGGTACCGATCTTCACTCCTTTGCTCGCATCCTCGCCGAGAGGGACGAGTTCGAAGTCCTCGTCTGGAACTGGTCGAAGGGGGACTTGCTCGCCACTGGAGGGCTCATCCTGGTCGAAGCGGGTGTTCAGGGCTATCGAGTCGACCTCTGGGGGGCTCTCTGCTCTTCTACCTTGACGGGCTCTGTCTTCTGAGGCTCTGGTCATGTCGTTGCAGCTCTCTTGGCGGGCCTTGTATCGGTGTAAACCTTATCGCGTCCCTTGGATGCCGCGGTGAAACACCTTAGGGCAGCTGCCAGGTCCCCTTGGATGGTGGCGACCCGTGCCCTCTTGGTGTAAAATTTCATCTTCAAGTGGACGGTAGAGGGTACCGCGGTCAGTTCTGCCAATGTCGGCCTTCCCAGAATGCAGTTGTAGAGGGAAGGGCAGTCGATGACGAGGAAGCACACCTTGACCTGCCTCGTTGTTGTATCCTCCCCAAACGTAACCATGAGCTCGACGTATCCCCAAGGTTTGGAAGTCGAGCCGTTAAAGCCCTGCAGGTCTGATCCCACATAAGGTGAGAGGTGCGAGTCGTCGAGTTGCAGGGTCCAAAATAGTTGGTTGTACATTACATCGACGGAACTTCCTTCATCGACGAGGACGCAATGTACGTCAAAGTTGGCCATTCTCGCTCTTATCAGCAGAGGAATGACCACTTAGGGGCCCCTCCGGGGAGCTCTTCGAGATAAAAGGTGATAGGTTCTGACCTACCCTTCACCCTCTCAAAGGTCACCGTCTAAGGAGGTGTCCTGTCGACCAATTCATCCAGCTTCCTCTTGGCTGAATTTATGGTCAGGTCGTTGAACCCCCCACCATTGATGACCATGGCGGAGGGAAAGTGCTCCCACCTGCTATGCATCGATAGTGGTTCTTGCAAGTGTTCGGGGACGTAGAAGTCCTCGGTTCTGGTGACGGCGAAGGCAGTTTGGATAGGGACTGACTCGTCAGATGGTCGGGCATTCTCCTCCATTTCTCTTGTCTCACGGGCGTCGCGATGAGGAGCGTCGTTTCGCCGGTACTGGGCGAGCCTCCCCCCTTTTATGAGGGTCTCGATGGCGTCCTTGAGGTGGACGCAGTCTTCAGTCAGATGGCCATGGCTCCTATGGTACTGACAGTATTTACTCCTGTCCACCCCGGGCTTGGCAGGAGCTGGTCGGGGGCGCTTGGCGCCGCCATCTTTGAAATTTGTATTGGCACACTCCGCCAAGATACGCTCGCAGAAAGTTGTGAGCGGAGTGAACTCTGTGAAATGCCCCAAGGGTCCTCTCTGTTCTCGGACGTCTCGGGGTTTGTCGTCTTTTCTTTTCTCCCCGGTTCGTCGAGGAGGAATGGCTTCTTGGCGCGGGTTGCAGCTAGATCCGCGAGTCCTGGGGTCACGGGCTATGTTGGTCGCTTCCCTTTCCTCGTAGTCTATGTAGGCTCTGTCCTTCTCGAGGAGAACATCGAACGTTCGGGGTGGTTCGATACCCATTGCTTTCCTGAATTTTGTGTCGGGGAGGAGGCCCCTCTCCAGCAGTTATCTCTTCATGTGGTCCGCGCAGGGGACCTGGATGGCTTCGTGGTTGAAGCGGTTGATGAATTCTCTCAAGGTCTCATCCTGCCTCTGGATGATGGCCTCGAGCGCCGCTTCGGTCTTTGGATGTCGCCGTGACGCCGTGTACGAGCTTATGAATTGGTTTTTCAAGTTTCGCCACGAGGTGATTGACCCCGGGGCGAGACCCTTGTACCAATCCATTGCCGCTTTCCTGAGGGTCGTGGGGAACAACCGGTATTTGATTGGTCCCCCGATGTTATGGTAATGCAACATAGCTTTGAACCCGTTTATATGATCGACCGGGTCGGCGACTCCATCATATTCTTTCAGGTGTGGAGGCTTCTCCATGCCCGGGGGAATGGGCGCCTCCATGATAGCTTGTGATAGGGGACCGCGGGGGTCGTCCTCATCACTTCGCTCCGGGGAGAGGGAAGGGGACCTGATATATTGTCGGTCGTGATGGCCCTGGTCGTGTTGGATGTTCCCCGAGCGACATGTCAGTTGGTATGTTCCTTTGTGTCTGTCTCCGGGATGCCTTCGTTCTTACCGTGAAGGGCCGTGGCCGCGCCTCCCGGTTTCGATGACTGGCTCTCTTTCCAAGGTGGGTCGCCGCCCTGGTGGTCGGGGCGACGGGCTTCGCGAGATGCCCCAGTCTTGTCTCTGTGGGGGAGATCGGGGGCGTTCCTCCGTTCTTCGAGGAGGTGGGGTTGGAGGCCTCCTGTGTCTCCTCGGGGACCTTCTGTCGTCCTCTAGCACCCTCAATCTTTCCCCTTGGGCAAAGATGAGGTAGTTGGTCTGGTTGATTGCCGCGAACAGTGCTCTGGTTGTAGCGTCTGCCCCGGCGGGGACAGGGACCTCATGGAATTGGGCGGCTAGATAGTTGGGGGGAGCTGGATTGTCTTCTTCGAGCGGAGGAGGGACTGAGGAAGATGAAGTCGTTGCTTCGTCCCGGTAGATTAAGGGCCCGGGGATGATGCCCCCAGGAAGCATATTATGGTTGGGGTTGCCGGCATTGTCGGGGCCACCGTTCTTGTCAGCGAGGTTGTTGCTAGCATCGACGACGCGGACGTTTTGGTCGTCCCGAGTTTGGTCAGCCATGACGGTGGAAGATGGTTTTAGCTTTTGGTATTTGAAAGTTTGTAAGACGGGGAAGCTTAGTTTCCCACAGACGGCGCCACTGATCTTACCGGATCAGAATTGGACTGTCACAGCTGGCTCGAACTGGATTTGAATGAGATGAGGGGTACCTGCAAGACACTCCGAAGATAAAATGAGAGACGGAATGAGCAGGCAAATAGGATGTAGGTGCGTAACAATTGAATACCTGACCCTCTTGAAATAGAGGGTATTTATAGCCCTCAGCGTTGGGCCAATGTCCCTTTATTAGACCGACCAAAGCTGGCCCAATAAAGGGACTGCCAGGTTCTACGTGTGTAGTGGGGACCCGCACGTGGTCCCCTTCCTGGATGATGCTCCGTGAAGAATAGGGAAGAACAAAGACACGGTCTTTCCGGAGCTCTAAGGATTCCGCAGCATCCGGAGGGGACTGAGTCTGCCCTACGGGGAGGATGCTCGAGCAAGGCTCGAGTTGGAGTACCCTCGGTCGGGGATGCTGCTCGTTGCTAGTAGCGGCGGGCATAACTGTTGTGGCCTGTGACTGGGTATGCTCGGGGCGGTCTGATTCCGAGCATAGCTCGAGGAACTGCTTGGATCTGGACCTTTACTTGTGTCGTGGGTCGAGGCAGGCCCAGTCCAGAACAAATAGCATGAATATCATCGCCACTTCAGTAAAATACAGTATAATAAATTAATCTATTTGCTATCTCTAGTTATGAACACAACAATACCTAATTATTAAAAATAGACTTATGATTGAAAACAAAATTAAATATCAATTTACATTAATTAAATAAGTAACAGGCATGAAATCATGAAGACTTACTGCAAAAGGGAGAGAATCTTCAGTTGAAGGAGGGGGATCGAGCCGCGAACTACCAACAAAACCACTGAATCCAACAGACACAACCGCGGCAGAAGAAGGAGCGGAGGATAAGAGCGATGCGCGAGACTGCAAGGGCGAAAAAGCAATAAGATGGATGATGATTAGGAATCGAAGAAAGGGAAGAAAGGATTGTTGTTACCTGCTTTGCTTCTAGCACCTTCTCCTTTTTGTTTCCCATTCTTCTATCTTCTTTTTATGTTTTCTCATTATGGATAGCAGTTACAAAATAGACTTAGATATAAGTTGTTTGAGGCAACAAAACAGAAGCATGAAATTGTGTGAAAGAATTCTAAAATCTAAAATAAAAAATAATAAAAGTAATCACGTGGAGTGATTTTAGAATAAGAAAACAAAAGTATCGGAACGGATAGATTCACCTTTTTATATTATAAATTTCTTTAAATTTGTATTAAGTATATAGATATTATAACCACCTAAAATTTAAATTTACATTTTGTCCTTTGACTGATTTTGTTGAGGTACTATTAAAATATTAGATTTATATTTATTAGTAATTACTACTAAAGTTAACTTTAATAATACTTTACAAAATGATGTCTATATAATGAAAACATGTTGTTAGCCTTTCATAATGCAATACAAAATGGCATTTCATATCTATCTTTGGTCTTGGTTTTTATGCATTTGTTTGGTCTTGGTTTCAGGTTAGAAAGAATGTTAGTTTTATCTTTTGAGTTTCATTTTCCATAACAATTTTGTACATGATATAAATTTTAACATTGGATTGGTCCAGGATTTGATACTAATTTGGAGAATCCAATAGGAGAGCATTTTACAAAACAATGCTTAATTGGTTTACCAGGACCTCCACAAGTCTGTTGCGTATCATACTGCCCTACATACTGTCCATCAGATTGCAACGCCAAAGGATTTACTAAAGGTGGATTTTGTATACTTGTACATGGATTAAATATGTGTTGTTGTAAAGCGTAATAAAAAAATAAATAAATTATGTAAAAGATGTAGTTGAACCTAAGCGTTCAATGGTTTCATCAAGAATGATCAAATAAGAATGATAAAGTTGTGCTCTATAATATTGAAAATTGCTACCCAATTTTAACATTCATAATTAATTCGAGAATCAATCTCACTGATATTATAAATTAATAATCGTCCTTTATTGTTATAATTCATTTTAGTTTATTCAAAAATTAATATTATAAAAAAAATTAATGAGAAATTTTGTGGTAAAGTTTTTCCATTCTAAAGTAATTATATTGAAAGGAAATTTATGGCGATTTTTCTTCACAAATATTTTGATAAAAAAATTATTTTATTTGAGATTAAAATTGACATTTCATCTCCAACTTGAGACATATTAACATTTTCGTCACAAAGTTCAGACGATTTCTATTTTTGACAAATTAATATTTTATCTCTGTACAAATAATTGCCAAGAATACTTATAATATGTTTTTTGTCGCAATTTAATATATTATATAATTATTAAATTTTTAATTTTATTTAATATAAAAATTAAAATCTCATAATTACATGTATAAATATATATTAAAATTCTAATTGTAAGTTATATTTAATAAAAAATAAATAAAACAACAACAATAACTAAGTTTTATTCTATTAAATTAGGTCGATTACATGAATCAAATTACATCGTAATGTTCTATCAAAGACTATATTTCTATCTAAAATTCATTAATCTCGTGATTCTTATAATTTTTTTACATCTTCGTCTACCTCTAATTGTTTGACTCTTCTCCATCTGATTCATTATTCTTATACTAGAATCTATTGATCTTGTATATGTTCATGTCCAAACAATCTAAGTTTATTTTTTATCATCTTCTATATTATAAGTGTTACTCCAGCATTTTATCTAATATTGACGTTATTTATCTTATAGGTGTTACCACACATTATACGCAACATCTTTATCTATAGGTGTTACCGCATATTATACGCAACATCTTTATCTATAGATGTTACCACACATTATACACAACATTTTCATCTTAACTACACTTATTTTATTTTTGTATTGATTATTGATCGTCCAACATTTTATCTCGTACGATATAATCTTAACTACACTTACTTTATTTTTGTATTGATTATTGATCGTCCAATATTTTATCTCGTACAATATAATAGTTCTTAGCATTGTTCGGTTAAATTTTTTATCAGATTAAATAATATTTTTGTGTCACATAATAAAACACTGGAGTCTCTCCTCCATTTTAATTTTATTATTTTTATGCGAATAAAAAAATTTGGAAATGTTTTAAATTTATCTTATTTATATACTGTATTCAGTTTTAACAATCATATATTTTTAAATTTCCATTAAAACAAGGTTTCATTATTTACAAATTTGAAACTTTCACTAGTGCAGAAATGACTTTTTACATCGGTTCTGGGTCCGATGTAAAGTCAGACGATATAGTAAATCAGAGACTTTTTACATCGATTCTGGGTCGGATGTAAAAAGTCCTTTTTTTTATATCGGTTGTGATCTAAGACTGATGTAAAAAACAATTATAACATTATTTTAAAAAAATTGACGCAACATTTTACATCAGTTAAAACGTGCGGACCGATGTAAAAAGTCTCTTTTTTACATCGGTTGTGATCTAAGAATGATGTAAAAAATAATTATAACATTATTTTAAAAAAATTGACGCAACTTTTTACATCGGTTAAACGTGTGGACCGATGTAAAAAGTCCCTTTTTTACATCGATTGTCATCTAAGCCCGATGTAATATATACAATTTTGAAAGTTTTTACATCAGTTGGGAGTAATAACCGATGTAAAATGTAAGTAATTTTTTTAGAATAAATTATTTATTTTCTGAATGTTTTTCTGTAAAAATAAAATTGGTACCCATTTTTTCATATTTCCAATATCACACAGACTATATTTATGTCGCTATATAAATTTCATAGCTTTCCAACATCACATAGACCAGATCTAGGTCGAAATTTTCATATTTTTCACAACAAACATACAAAATGAACAATTGTATTGCAAACTTGTATTGTATCACAACAAACAAACTCACGACAAACTTACAAATACATATTCTTCACAAAACATACAAAAATATTCAACTATTTATAAGTCTTTTTCCAAACTTGAATTACCAATATAAAATCCACAAGTAGATGAGTTATAGCTTCGGTAGACAACACCAAAATCACATTGCCTGACAATAAATAATAACAATTAACATCAGCAAAAAAAAATCAAGAAACTCAATACATGTGCAAAAACCACATGTAATGTGCAAAAACTCAATAATAACAATTATGTGCAAAAACCACAACTTAGACAATGCTATAAAACTCACCAGATAAACTTAATTTTTATATAACTCAAAGAAACATTTTGCCCAACGGAGTCGCAAATCATACAAATCATCTTGTGTTAATTTTGTTGGGTCATCAAATACCTATAATACATAAATATAATAATATAGAGTTATTTTTTAAAAATTCATATTAAGTCGAAAAACAAAAAGTAAATGACAAATCAAAGTTATTTTTAGTACCTGCATCCAATTCTCGGTTATATTAGCAGAGACAATATCCAACATATTTTTCATCACATAGTATCCACAATCATTAGAGTTATGTTGTTGTCTTGTCTACAATTGAATGACATAATTAGTGAATACTTATCATAAATTTAACTATAGAATTACAATTTACATCACACTTACATTGGGATGAAGCCATGTAGTCTTTTTTCTATTTTCATTCGCCATTTGATGAATCTCAAAAGAACTAATACAGAAAGATAAACATCATATAACTAAATTTACTCGCCAACGAAAAATCACATAACTATTAGTTGCCAATGAAAGTCACATGAAAGATAAACTTACTTTGTAATAATTTTCTTCGTGTTCTGGTCAATTTCCCGATGAAGTGAACAAAATACGACAACTAAATTGTCTCTTGGACACATGACTATTAATTGCCAATGTCTCCTGTACGTGTGTGTGGAAACAGAAAAGTCACATAAAATATATATGTTATCAAAATTAAATAATATAAAACACAATTTCATAAAAATTCTTACCCATGAATTAATGGTAGTAAGTGGCACACTCTATTTTCATCACGTAACTTTTCTAGTACGTAATTTTTAACATCCTCTTGAGATTTCGCTCCATTATCATTATAAATACACCTAGCAGGATCCATAAATCCATATAATTCTGAAATGGAATTCTTAAGACATACACGATGAATATACCTGAATACTTTTAAAATAAACATTAGAATCAAAGTGATGAGAGATATAACATATTAATAGAGATTGACTTTAATAAAACAATAAAATGTATTTACGTGCACCAAATTTGCAGAATAGACACGTCAAGCCAATGACCTAAATCCACCAATAACTCTCTGATACACTTAGCTTAAATATAAAAATTAGAGACACTCGCACAATGACTTAATTGTATTTCCAAATGGTTATCATCTATTTTCAAAACCATGAGTAACAATCTCTGAACATCATCAACTTCCACGCCTTTTGTGCTTCCTTTTGCAACTGAACAACTTCCTTTTCCGCTTCCATCGATAATTTCCATTTTCAATGCATTTAATATTATCCATGCTTTGTGATAAACTCATTGACTTAAGTGTCTCCATTAATGATTGTTGAAACATATTACGCTCTTCAACCAACTTTTCTTCAAGTTCAGCTCTAAGTTTTGTTTCTAATGTTGCAAGTTGTTCATTTACGTCAATATGTTGACGTGGCCTTCCAAAGTAAGTGTTTTGTTTATGGAGTTTTCCAACACCACGAACAAGACCTCCATGCTCAGATGTTCCAATGGCTAATGTTAAGATATCGTTACGTCCATCCAGAACAATTGCACCTTTTTCAGCTTCTTGAACTAGAGAATCCTATAAAATATAAAAACCACAATTAATCAATCACAAATATAATGATACTTGAATTATTTTTCATTGTTTACTTACAATTTTTTCAGCAACCTCTTGTGTAGATTTTGATGTGTATTCTCCTCCTTTCTTTTGTCGTGCTCTCTTCCATAACTCATGGTGTGATGGTGGAGATGGACTACTATTATCATCTAATGTAAAATTATCTCTCGATGACGACTTTTCTTTCATAATTTTCTCCTCAAGCAAGCGATACCCTCCACGAGACAATAAGTGTGGGTATACATTCTTAGCCACATTATCCTTACCCTTTTGATTTTTTTCCTATTATAAACTCAAAAAGTAATTAATCACTAAATATAATAAAAAATTTATGCACACAAAAACATATAACTCCTACTAACCTTAAATTCAGGAGTATCTCGAATCTTGATAAACTCTTTCCATGCGTCTTCCGTAATAAAGTTATACTTGACATATGGAGGAGGATCATTTTCTATAGGATGATTAATATATTTGTCTGTGAGTTGTGTCTTAAAACCTCTCCATCGCTCTCCTGCATATTTAATCCATTCTTTCTTCAACCTATCCTTCTTTGGATATTTACATTCTGGAATAGTAAAATGAGCCTACAAATATAGTATATGTCATATGTTGTTAATTAGTATATGATTATAAAATATAATAAAGTATTGTATTTAAAATACCTGAATATCAGTCCAAATAGCATCTTTTACGCCTTCATCTACTTCTTTCCAATCATTTTTCACAATACTACAGTACTTCTGAGCAAGACATGCTATATAACTCTTAAAATGTGTAGCATTTTTACCAACACCAATACATTCATAGGTTCTTGCATTAAACTCGACCTTTATCTTTTCACCTGTTTGATGAACTTTGTCAATTTGTGTCATGAAAGTGGGACCTCTAACTCTTCTTTTATTGGGATTACTAGATGAAGAAGGGTTGTCGTTTGAATCACCCATGTATCTGTTTACACAAAATAAAAATAATTAGAAATAATATTAAGCACAAAATAAAAACAATTAG